TTGTTAAGTTCAGCATTTACAAAAAAAATTTGAAGGGAACGTTGGATTTCCATTCTCCTTGTAACAAATAAATATGTGGGTGCTGTTACGTTACAATGTTGAAAAATTTTAAATTAAAGCCACTTTCACTTTTTTATGTTCCATTGGCAATATCAATTCTTTTTTACGTACGCGTCATTGTGTACGATGCCTTATAAATCTCAAAACTGTCACAACTCACGATTGACAAGATCACGAGAATATTACTGTCAAAACAAATATCTTTTCAACGTGGTTACGTTTGGTGTGAAAAGTGAAGCGAAAAATCTAAAATTTTTAAATCACTCCGAAAAATTGCAGGAATCATCCTGGAACCAACAGCTGGGAAGGGAGGGAATTAGGAGAGTAAGGATGAAGGGTATTATGAAGGATATTAAAAAGGGGGGAGCAATTGGTATGATTTTACAAAGCTTACATTGGGAGAGAACGAGTTGAAGAATCCCGGAAACCTTCTAACGTTATTGTATGACTCTTGTATTTTATGCTTGTCTACTTGTTTTCTGAAATAATCCTGAACTGTGGTAAAGCAAGCAAATATTGTATTGTGTTTAACCTACACCGTGTCCAATATATTCTTCATACACCTTTTCATCTTGTCGTAGTGGTGAAGCTACAGTTCATACACTTAATAATCTTGCACTGTGTTTACACAAACCATTGACGGTTCTGTTTGCTTATTTTCATACAGTTTCCATCTTTTATCAACGATGAAAGAATTTCGTGCTGTGGTAATAAAAAAGTTTTTGGAAGGAAAGCGCACTGGTGCTATTTTCAAGAGTTTGCAGAATCTGGGAGTAAAGCAGGTTTTTTTTTGTATCGAACCATTAGAAGGTACCGTGAGACTTCCTCGTTAGATGACCGGAAAAGATCCGGCCGAAGACGTTCAGCTAGGACTGAACGAGTGATTAAGACCGTCAGGGAACGAGTTCGACGAAAATCACAACGCTCTGTACGTAAAATGGCCACTGATCTCAATGTCTCGAAATCGACCATGCACAATGTACTCAAGCAGGACCTGGGATGCCAAGCTTTCAAGAAACGTAAAGTTCACGGAGTTTCGGAACCTTCCAAGAAGAAACGGCTTGAAAGAGCAACTCTCCTACTATCGCGGCACGCTGGACGAGACTTTGTCTTTTCCGATGAAAAGTTATTTGTCCTGCAGCAGTCTCACAATGTTCAAAACGTCAGGTTGTGGGCGTGTAGGTCCAGGGACATCCCAGATAGGGACAGAAACATTCCACGGTTCTCATACAGCAAACTTGGTCCAAAACTGGTGTCGAGCAAATTTGACCGACTTTTTGGCCAAGGATGAATGGCCTCCCAGTTCACCAGATCTAAACCCCTTGGATTATTTTGTGTGGTCATACATGCTGTCAAAAATAAACGAACACAAGGTGTCCACTTTGGTTCAGTTTAAAGCCGTAATCCTTCGAATTTGGGACAAAATGCCGATGGAAGTCGTGCGTGCCGCTTGCGATGGGTTTGAAAAACGTTTGAAGCTGGTCAAAAAGGTTAAAGGCGGTGTTATTCCGAAGCATATGCTGTAATTGATCCATACTATATAAGCTTGAGCTTGACCTTGAGCTTGCTTGAGCTTGATTGATCGCCCACGGTTGCTACTCTGTTATTGCCAGATCAGCTGTAATTACACAGAGAACCAATAGACGATGCTTGGGACTAGCAATCATCCTCAATGTGTAAAAACTGGTGATCTTAAATTAGGCAATACCAGCGCCGGCCGCGCCCGAACACAGGTCAAGAAAGGAATGGGAAGGATTGTGTTGACATGACACTCGCTTTGATGGAAGCCGAGAACACCTCTGCACTTCCACGAGGAATCACTGGGATGTTGGATAAGAGCGTTGGGTTTGCAGCAGGGTTCGTTTTGGTAAACGATAAGCTGAATTGATTTCCTAACGATCATATAACGCGAAGGAGCTTTGGACTAAACCCACGGTCTTCTGCTCAGTAAGCAAAAACGTTTGCCACTAGGCAGACGAGCACTTTTTTAATCACAGAGTTGCTGTTATTACCATGTAGTCATATTAACTAATAAAACGATTGACGAATCTTGATTGTGGATGGGCCTGAGATTAGACTCATGATGTTCTGCTCAGTAAGGAAAAACGGTTGCTCTAAGGCCACCGAGCCCCTCATATCACATAATACCGTTGCTCTAATTTTTGTATCCATTCAAACCCGGAACCAACGACAACAACGAGTTTCGCAAAATACACGATACACAAGCGATTTTACCATAAATCTCTTTGATATGTAAGGACCTGGGACCGCGTTTTTCTGCTCAGTAAGCAGGCCACTGTAACCGACGATCTTTCAAATCCGAAAACTAAAAACTACGAAAAAGTACTTAGGCCTTCATTAAGTTCCACTTTCACGCGACGTACAATGTTTCAATTTGCTCTTTACGTATTGTTCAGGCTAGGCCCTTTTCAAAATTTACGCGAGAAATACGCACAATCGTCACCTACCTCGCAAAACTGGTTCCAAACGACAACAAAGGCATAAGCAACGATGGATTGTTGAACTTTGCTGGCTCCGGTGGTGTAGTGCACAGCCAAAAAAATGTAATATCGATCAACGCAATTCAAGCTGATGTATGAAATAATGATGTAATTGTAATTTTGTAATTTATCAGCACACACCCTGGTCGACCACTGTAAACCAATCTGCCGTTCAGCGTTTTCGGTTTTTGTTTCTGGATCTTTAGTTGCCTCTGTGATATACTTACTTGCGGCATACTATTTTGGGAGTGTACATGAGCGTGTACCATGTACGGTAGCTCATCTCTCATCGTGATGGTGGGACATAGTAGACAAATTAGAGAGAAAACAAGGAGGTATTAGTATTAGTTATATGTAAACAAACAAAACAATAGTTAGATAATGCGGCACTGTAACTACTTCTATTTTAGAGGTATGATTCGTCATGTTTAACTCAATGTTTCAATTGAGGCAAACTATCTATCTTACAATTACAAAAGCAAACCTAAACTTACAATTATATGCAAATGCAAAATGAAACTTGAAAAATCATCGTCAATTCCCTTATTCCAGGGCAGGGCCTGACGATTTGAATCTAATTTTGATCAGTGAACGGGCACCATACGGTACATTTTCTCACCATGAACCTATCATTTCCAGCCTATCTGAACTATTTAATAAATGGAAGCCATAACATGGGTTACGCTCCCCCTAAGCTCCGCATCCTGTCTCTGTCTTATCTCAAATACAAAATGCCAATGGTATGAATGTATCTATATATAACTTGGAAATGACGTACAATCAAATAAACCCGTAACCCACTCACTTGGTCAGGCTTCAGAATCGTCCAGTGGACAGTGCACTCTACACTCCAAGTTCCCTTTTTTTCAAATTTACCGCAAATTTGATATTTTACCCATTGAGTGTTGATTAGTCACAATGAAACATTGTGACAGAAGTTGAGGTTACTAGTGTATTAAATAATCTAGGTCCTATTTAGGAAACCAAATCTGGCCAACGCCCACCCTAAACCTAAACCTGTTCTAATCCACCTGAAATGACTAACGAATGGAAGACTTTGACTACCCAGCCATGCAATAGTCTCATTCCGTGCTTTATGGCAACTTGATGATTCTATTGCGCTCATCTTCTGGCACCACCCAGGGGAGACTTGGTCCTGTACCCAATGCTTAACTTATCTCCATTCCACTCAACTACTCGCAATTTCGTGTGATATAGTGGGCGGAATATTATTATATGAGACAATTCAATGCAGACGTCTTTCCAAATTTGGCAGATCGACAGGTAATCGGTGAGTTACCACGATAGTTGCTATTCAACAACTCGACAACGTCCCATCGTCAACGCCTGCTATGAGAATTTCCCATTGCAGACGCCAACGAAATGACGTCATCGAGCTATCGATCAACTACCCTGGTTATCGCCTGGTACCTTATAGCACGATGCTAGGAGGCGAACCGGAAGAATCGATGAGCTACCTCCCCCATAATTGATCCATACTATATAAGCACAATTACTAATAAAATCTGAATAACTGATGTGAAATAATCGATGTTTGAATTTGTATGAGAATATATAGGACACGGTGTAGAGATATGCAAGGACATGTTCAACAGTTCAACGTTTGATTACTCAGCAATAACACCTCTAGCTACAATCCCAATATTTAGAGGGGAATTCCTATTATCGGAAGGATTTTTTATTGGTATTGCTGTTTGTTCTCAACCAGTTTCCAAATCTATTTTATAGATTCGCGCTGAACCCACCATTCTGGTACTACAAATGAGTGCTATACAAATGTAGTAGTACCAACAATCAATACGAAACTAACGATTTAAAATTGGCTCACTACTTGACTAGCCTATTGGTCCCAAGCAAACGATTAACGTACCCCATTCTAGTTGAAATTCTAGTACTACGCAATGTTTGTTTTGATTTGCTATGGAAGTTTGACAGATAAAATGAGGGGTTATTGGATTTTCCTATGTTTCGAGGGGTGAATCGATTAGCTTGGGACCGAAGATAGTACCAGAGCTGAGCCAAAACGTTGAGCACGTTTCTTCGGGACCTACTAGTCTTAGAGTTACCTCTATGGTAGTACTGGACATAAGTAGAGTAAAAATTAATTACGTTAGTAGTAGTAGCAAATTAGGTTAAGAGTTAATTGAATTATTAGTAATAAATCATTCCCAAACGAGCCATCCAAAAAACCAGACCTAAAGTGTATCCCAAGTTAATAGTTTAATAAATCCAAATCCAAGGTTGCAAAGCGTTTCCTTTCAAAAGAAGAAGTGACTCCTAGTGGCGGTTAGTCGCAAACCTAAAAGTTCGGTGCAATAATCAACTGGAGTGTTAGCCGATGCTCACACCCCCACTCAGCCTAGTTACAGTGCACATTTGATTTTCCCGCTGGTTAAATTTTTAACGGAAATCACGAACCTGCCCCAACATTATGGTGCCGTGACCAGGATTCGGTTTCCAATTCGCCATTGTGTCCGCGTACAAAATTAGTGCTATTGAATTTCCGCCATCGTTCCAAGTGCAACCGACGCCATCCTTGCCGAATAAGAATACGAGATTGAAATATGTTCCTGCTGTTCGAGATTTAATTTAATACAAGGCCTACTTGATTCAGGCACATGGTACGTGTAATTCCATAGTGCGCAGATATTGTCCACGGGTGCCTTGAGATTTTTCCGATTTTCTTTACACGCTATTCCGTCCGCTCATCGATTTCGAACTGTGAAGCGAAGTGCCTCCATCTAGTGTACCGTAAAACGGGGTACCCCCGCCCGTCAAGAAAATCATCCAACAAGCTACCGCCGTCGTTATCATCCGTTCCGCCATCCTGCCACCCGCTTACCTGCTCCAATCATAGGTGCTCTATCAATAAAATACAAGGCATTATCCTAGCCTTGAAAATCCTTTTTGTGTGTCTTCCACCTAGAACCGCCATTTTGATACATCGCGTTCCAACCGCACCGCCATGGACGAACAACGGATGTTACAACTTACGAACCGTCGCACCGCCTTAACAGCATCACTGTGGAGAGCCGACCAGTTCGTTTCAAAGTACCAGGCCGATCGAGACCAAGCTCAGGTGCAGCTACGCATCGAGAACCTAAACGACGTGTGGACGGAACTGGAGGATGTTCAGTCGAAAATTGAAGATGAAGAGACCACCAATGAAGGTAGGGAACAGAACAACCAAACCCGTTACAAATTCGAATCCCTATACTTCAAAGTAATGGCTGCTCTGCGATCCTCCTTACCCGCCAATCCTATACCGACTCAAAGCGCAATCCCTGCCCCTGCTGGATTATCTGGCATCAAGCTTCCCATCATTTCGTTGCCAGAGTTCGATGGCGACTACAATCAATGGCTGGCTTTCCATGATACTTTTGTTGCCCTAATTCACGCCAACGTTGATGTCCCCGACGTACAAAAGTTTCATTACCTCCGTGCTGCCGTTGAGGGTGAAGCGGCACAATTAATCGAATCGATCTCCATCAGTTCTGCCAACTATTCCATCGCTTGGCAGACGCTGACTTCACGCTACGCAAACGACTACTTGCTCAAAAAACGTCACTTGCAAGCGATTTTGGATTGCCCTCGCATGAAAAGGGAATCTGCCGAGGCTTTGCATAGCCTAGTGGATGAATTTGAACGCCATACCAAAATTCTCCACCACCTAGAGGAATCTGTTGACCAATGACCAAAGGATCCCTTGATACTTGGGCTTCGGTAATGTGGATACGATGTACGATCAGCATCCTTATTATTGGAGCTCAGGAGTCACGGTATCCAGAAAAAGAAATAGCTGCAAAATCTCCATCCATAAATAAGCATTCGTGACTGCAGGTAGTACGTGTAGATATGAATTCTCACAATAATAATTACTGGTATGATACGATTGTGGAACGCAGGATCAGACTTTTTTCTTGATACAGCACAAGTATCGCCCTATCCGTGATTTTGGAAGAAGAATGACCGTCATAACCGTTTATGCTCGAAATGTGATGACGGTCAATTTATATGTCTGTTTATTTTTCCTCGGTGATATGATGGTACCACATGACAGATGTGAGTGATATTGCGAATGAGTGAGACAAGCAAAATGACGATATCTCACGGTTGTTGTGTCAAACTGGTGAGAAGTTTTAGGGAGAGAGGGTTCTCAGTTGCTTTGATTGCTAACCGTAGGATTCTCGTTTATCAATCTAAAGGCTGTCAGTACCGTGATGCAACTCAGCACTGGTTGTATTGGTTCATCTTCAATCGAATGATCTGAAAATTAACCGCACCGAACTCAGCTGATTATTAAGCCGAAAATATTCGTACTATTTTCTTCAGTCTTTCTCACCTCTATATGAATAAGATATAAGGTCTGTATCCACATTCATTCGGGCACAACACTGTAACTTTTGAAATATTGCACGTAGGAGTGAAAAATTTCGCTGGGAATCATTGATGAAGAATACTATGATTGATGTTCACATTCCATGTCTAGTGTTCAAGATTGCGACGAATGAAAAATATGTCTGCGAGCGGATTTTATACGGACGTAATGCAAATCCTGACTCGGCAATACGGGAACTTAAAAAAAAAATTGATTTATCTAAATTCACTGTTCACGGTGTGCTCAAACCATATTCGGAACGTTGAGAGGAAATCGAGAAGGGATAAAAACATTGGACGTGCTGATCCTATCATATACCAAAAGGTGAAGATGATGTTGAAGGAAAACCCATATCTCTCTGTTCGAACGGTGGCTCTGTCCAAAAATCAAAACAGTGTTTTTGGTCTGAAGTCGTATAAAGTAAAAACAGTTCCAAATCGCAACGAAAAATAGAATTCGACAGCAAAATCACGTGCTCGACGTTTGTAATGCGAATATTTGATGAAATTTCCATGCGTTGTTATGGACGATGAAAATTATGTCCTAGAGGATTTCAAGCAGCTTCCAGGGCTGGCAGCATGGCCAAAAATGCTACAGCTGAGTATTTCAGGACGAAGAAGGCATCGAAATTTCACAATAAATAACTTATTTGGCAAGCAAAGTGCACGTGTGGCCAAAAGAGAAAATCACAAAGGCACAATCAACAAGGAGATTTATCAGAAAGTGTGCCTGCAGAAGCGATTGCTACCCTTCATCAAAAGCCACATATAAAACCCTTTGTTCTGGCCCGATTTGGCATCATGCCAGTATGCTAGAACTGCGATGGCGAGGGTACGAAGCAAATCATGTGAATATTGTACCAAACACCGTAAATCCGTCAAATTGTCCAGAGTTACGTCCAATCGAGAGATATTGGGCTCTGATGAAGAGGAAGCTTTCTGGAAAGAAACAAGGAATCGAAGCTATCAAACACTTTCAACCAATTTGGACAACGACGGCTGAGGAGTTCGAACTTACTTGATACTTGATGGGCTACGAATCGTCAGGTTGATTCAACGCCGAACGAAGTACTCTTCTCCATTGGACTCGGTCCTGAGCCAATCGCTTCCAGTCGCCATGAACGTTTAGCGACCTGATGTCCTCCTCAACTGCAAATAGCCAACGTGTCCGAGGTCTACCCCGGAGTCGACGACCTCTACCGGGTTCTCTGCTGAATATAATATTTGCTTGTCGTTCTTCCGGCATCCGCACTACATGCCCAGCCCACCGTAGTCTGCCGTGTTTTATAAGCTTCACTATATCCGTACCGTTATACACTTGGTACAACTCGTGATTCATGCGACGCCGCCAGATGCCATTCTCCTGTTTACCGCCGAGTATTGTTCGCAGCACCTTACGCTTACCAAATGCTCTCCGGCCAGACTCTTTTAACGTCCACGATTCGTGGCCGTAGAGGGCTACCGGAAGTATCAGCGTCTTATACATAGCGAATTTCGTTTTCGTTTGCAGGCTACGGGACTTCAGCTGGCTACGTAATCCGTAAAAGGCCCTGTTTGCAGCTGCAATACGTCTCTTCACCTCGCGGGTAACATCATTATCGCATGTCACTAGTGTTCCAAGATACACAAATTCTTCCACTACCTCAAATTGTTCACCATCTAACAACACTACACTACCAACACCACTATTGCTCCCATGCTGTCTACCGGCTACCATGTACTTCGTTTTGGTAGAACTTATCGTGAGCCCAATCCTCGCCGTCTCCCTCTTAAAAGGCACAAACGCCTCTTCCACTGCTCTACGGTCAATTCCGATGATATCGATGTCGTCCGCAAAGGCAAGGAGCATGTACGATCGTGTGATGATGGTACCGTTCCTCTGCTCCAGCTCTCCTAATCGCTCCTTCAAGAGCAATGTTGAACAGTAAGTTTGAAAGTGCATCACCCTGCTTCAATCCATCTAAGGTCACGAACGAGGTCGAAATCTCATCTGCAACCCTTACACTTGATTTCGATCCATCTAGCGTTGCGGGAATCAGTCTAATTAGTTTCGCCGGAAAACCATGTTCTAGCATAATCTGCCAAAGCTCATTTCTCTTCACTAAATCGTATGCTGTTTTGAAATCAATAAACAGATGGTGAGTCTGCAAGTTGTACACCCGGAATTTATCAAGGATTTGACGCAGGGTAAACATTTGATCCGTCGTTGATCGGCCCTCACGAAAACCAGCCTGGTATTCACCGACGAAGGACTCCTCAAGCGGTCTCAATCTGTTAAACAGAACGCGTGACAGTATTTTGTACGCCGAATTCAGAAGAGTTATTCCTCGATAATTGGCGCACTCGAGTCTGTGCCCTTTTTTGAATAATGGGCAAATGAGGCCATCCAACCAGCTAGCAGGCAGTTCTTCGTCCTCCCATATCTTCGTTAGAATACGGTGGATTGCTTGATGCAGCTGCTCACTTCCGTGTTTGAAAAGTTCGGCCGGGAGCTCGTCCTTCCCAGCAGCCTTATTGCTTTTCAGCTCACGTATTGCCTTTTTAACCTTGTCTAGCGTTGGAGGCTCCACAGCTTGATCGTCGTCTGCGATGTTTACTCTGTTCCTCGATACTCCCTCACTCTCTCCATTCAACAATGTCTCAAAATGTTCTTTCCACCTGGCAGCCACCATTGTTTTATCTGTCAGCAAATTCCCCTCAAGGTCACTGCACATGGCGGGAGATGGCGCTGTTTTACTCCGCACACCATTGACAGTCGCGTAGAACCTTCGCATATCGTTCTGTTCCATACTTTCTTGCGCCTCAGCAATCACGCGTTCTTCGTATTGCCTTTTCTTTCTGCGGTGGGTTCGTTTCTCAGCTGCCCTTGCTACCTTGTACCGCTCTCTGTTCAGCCGGGTACCAGACACTAACATCCGGCTTCTGGCAACGTTCATCTCATCCGTCAACCTATGGCACTCCTCATCAAACCAGCCATTACGTGGTCGTCTTTGAGCTGTACCTATCACTTCTTGTGCTGTTGTGTTCACCGCTCCGTGGATTGTGTTCCACAGATTGTTGAGGTCCTCGTTCACGTTGATTTCGCTAATCCG